TTCTATCACACAGCAGTGACTACATATAAACATGATTGGTGTTGAGGGTTGTGGTTCGAGAATAGCCCACATTGACCACTGGGACACCAGACACAGAAAGATGAAAGTTTATTGAACACTGAACAAAGACTGACTGGTCAGGGACACAGAGTGGACTCAGCAACCAAACTGTGACACCTGTTTCTAAGGCAGGCTTTTCATAAGAAAAAGTGTAACCAAAAAAGTGTAGGAAGCAAGGGGAGGGCAGCATTACATCATTTTGATTAGCTAAACAAAACATTTTAAGCTGACTTACTAGAATATATGGTAGGGGAGCAGCTTGGGGAGTTTCCAGTCACCTACCATCCAGGAGAACGGAATATAGCACGGTATTGTGGTTTTGTTAAAGTACAGCATATCTCATTAATTCAAGCAGAACATTAAATAAGTATTGAATTGTAAGTAAAAGGCTGTTCAAGCTCTCAGGTAGGCAATGCCTAAGAACTTGAACTTAATTTCACCTTATGATCAAAATTAAAAACAAAATGGCCATGGTTATGCTAGGATATGCCAGGCAGTAAGGCCTAGATGTCTGGACACGTCTTAGTGTTGATGTGCCTCAACAGAGTAAACCCTCAAAATTCCCATTTAAATCCCTCCTATGTAGGACCCCAACATTTCCTTGTTGTCAGTTTGCTATCTAGAGGGTCCAAGACTGCTATGTCAACTGTACAGATCCTGGTAACAGACAGCCCTGGTTGTGCTACCCTGGTCTGTAGAGCAGGGGGTTGGGAGGATGACAGAGCTTATGTCACAGTCACCTGTGGCTTATTTAAACACTACACCTGAATGTCGTAGTCATTCACAAAAGCCAATTACTGTTATGACTGCCATGTTCCCTAAGGCCTCTGTGATCTTTCTGCATACGGCAACTCCAGTAATGTATCTTTTGGTAATGTATCTTTTTGTTGTTCTAACTTGATCCAGGTCACAGGTTTTCCCATCCAGATGCCCTACACAGATGTCCAGGCAGTCATTGATGCTGTGTACCAGACTGGAATTCACTCTTCTGAATTTCCCCAGACGGAATTTGCTTTAGCTGTGCATATTCATCCATACCCAAACAACATTTTGTCTGTGTGGGTCTATTTGGCTTCCTTAGCTCGACATCAGTGAAACAGAAAAAGGGACAAGGCAAAGAGTACTATGCTCCCCTAGACCCAAGCTTTCCTGACACCTTGAGATTTTGCTGCTTATTTTCAAGTTCATTGGTGCTGGGCATGATTTGGATTCCTGTGTAGAGCTGGGAACTATGGAGACCACATCAGCACCTCTTCCCTAGCCTTTGATGGATGATGAGTCTAGATGACCTCCGTACTGACACCTCTTACCCCTTCTGGGAGACCCCTCGGGTAGTCTGGCTGCGTTGTGTACCACAGTCCACATCAGGTCTCCTTCTGGAAAAGCAGCAATTCCAGTGTGCTCCCTGAGGTCGTGCCACTCCATCAGAGCCACCTGGGGAGTCTTATTAAGAAAGACAATTCCTAGATTCACCCAAGACTCCCTGAATCAGAAACTCTTGATAGGAGAGCAGCACTGTTCTCAGCGAGCTCCCGAGCAACTCTGATTCCCCTGTTGAGTGACAGCCCCCTTGCAGAGTATCATCAGTACTCCTGAGACACGGGGACATTCGATGCTAGTTCTGGTACAATTCCAGGTGGAAATTCCTCAGAGGGAACCCTGAGGTCATGTTCTAGTCTGAAAGCCAGCAGGCTCAAGATGTAAAAAAGCCTGTTTCAGATTGAGTTTAAAGGCCGGAAAAGACCTATGTCCCAGCTGAAAGAAATTAAGCAGGAAGAAATCCCTCCTACTCGGTTTCAGAAAGGCAGCCTTTTAATTCTACTCAGACCTCCATCTGACTAGATGAGGACTATTCATAATATACCATATTCAGAAGGCAATCAGGTTTACTCGGCTTACCAAGACACATATTCCCCAATCCAGCCCTTCAGATGTACATCCCCGATGTTTAATCAGTGGGTACCCTGTGGCCCGGTCAGGTAGATACCTAGTAACACTCTATGTCGATTGTGACCAATGTAAAAATGTACAGACAATTTTAATTGTGGAGCACTCCCTAGCAAATTACCTATTATAAATATCTGCAGATTTTGATTCCTATTTTTGAGAATAGCATAAAGACTATCCTTAATATTCTGCATCATAGTGGCTTATAAATATGGTCTAGGATCTTCCATATTAAGTTTATTACAGGTGTGATCTACCTTTCCTCAATCAGTCCAACTGCCAAGTGCCAAATATTGTAACGAAGGATGGCAGGTGTCATAGCATTAAGACCAGTGAACAGGCTTATCCAAATCCGAGTGGGAGAGATGGTGTTGTAGACAAAGATGCTTGGGTGTGAATGTAGTTGCAGTAACTTAAATACTTCACAGATGTAAACTTGTACCAAGGAAACCAATCAAGAACAGAGCCCGGGGCTTCTGGCTCCTGGAATTTTGTATGTAAAAGAATTTGATGGAGCCCAAGAAGAATCCTGAATGCTCCATTGCAGTATGTTCATGAAACTAGAACACAGGACAAAAACAAGGTGCACAGTATAATACGAAAAAGCTGCCATTTTTCATACAAAGTGAGCCAAGGGGTCACATTGATGTGCTGTTATAAAGACCTGTGTATTCCTGGGAAGGAGCATTTTCTGAGAAAAAGTGGAATCGGTGGAAAGAGGAATCTGCTAGTTATTATGCAGTTTTATACTGGTTGAATGTTTGTCTTCTGTATGCATTTACTTGAAAGTGTCTTCCTTTCAATGAAAAGCAATAGCCTTTATAACATTTCAATAAATTTTGTTTACTTGGTTTACAGTGCTGCTTTGATACTATGGCTTGAACCCAAGTGTGCTGTACTGCACTGTACTGCCTCCTCGGTCCCCTAGTTCTCAGCACACAGTGTTTGATAACCACATCATCACATACAGAAGCCTCGAGAACAATCTCCTCTGCGTGTTCCGACACTAGTACCTGTGCTGCCAGAGCATGGCGGCTTCCTATTGCCTGAAGTTCCCAGAGTTACAAAAGCCTGCCAGAGAATCTGCTCCCACCCTCATCTCTTGCCAAACCACTTTTGCCCTAAGCTGCAACCTGACTAGTTTCCATTCTCTGTTGTGTGGGTGCCTTGCCCTTTTCACTTTCAAACCTTTGCTAGTCACTTCCTAGGTTTGGAGTATCTTTACCCAAGACACAAATTACCCTCTGTTTTTCTTCCAGGTATGTTTGCTCCTGAGAGCCCTTTCCTGTTTGCTGTCCCCTCCTTCTGGCACACCCACCCACCAGAGAGACAGCCCCCCATCACTTACTTCCCCTCAGGCCTATGCATGGCTTCCCATATCATAAAATAATGTCCACCTTTCTAGCCTTTCACCTGGGCGTCTTCACACAGCACATGTCACAACACGGTATGAATTTATCTTTCATTTATTATGTCTCTCCCTATAGAATATGAATTATGAGAACACAGAGTTGAAGTAATTGTGTTGTGCCTAGCTCACTCCAAAGGAATACAATAATTAGACTGAAGTTTGCCTTTCAGTAATGTATACTCTAAGACCCCCCAGACACACACACACACACACAGGCATTAACAGGAACGAATACTGACATCTTATAATGAGCTATCTAAGCCTAGAAAATAACACATAATTCTGGAGAAGTATCTCCCGGTAAACAACGTCTTCAAAGTTGAGACTGTAGGACAACCTGCTTATTACAAGGTCACACAGACAATTACAGTCCAGTCTGTGACCCACATTTCTGAAAAGGTTCTTAAGAAAGGCCTGGACCCTAAATCATTTGGAAGCCAAATTATTGCCGTAAAGCTGCTTAGTAGTCATGAATTAGAAACTGCGGACATGGTATGGTACTATTTAAATACCATAAATGACACGGAAATTTTAGCCTGATATGCCCTCCCTCCTTTGCCAGTAGCCTCTTTCCGAATTGCACTGGGCTAGGCTGGGTTCTGCCAACTTTCACTTGTATGGAAAATTTCCCTTTTCTTGCCATCAGTTCCTGAATCCCTGCTTTCCCCAGGCATCACCGTGGTCAGCCACAGTTCTTCCAGGATGTATGCAAATGCCAGAGTGGTAAGCCCCCCACTCATCTGTGGTAGCCCTTTATCACTCTTCCTCTTTCAAAACAAAATATTCAAAGTAAGGGGTGAGGTCTCACGATTTATAGTTAAGTAGTGAAAGAAGTCGCTCAATACTCTGGGAAATTGAGGGACCACTGTCCCAGCTAACCATCTACTTCTTTTGTGGTGGTCCACCAAACACCTTCAAATACAATTGATGGGGTTTCTGCTACTCACTTTCCAGCTCCAGCATCACCTTAATTGACGCCGGAGCGTTTCCACGGTTTGGAGTGTCTTCATTGACCACCACAGGTGGCCAATTACATTCATTACGGATTTGACAAGCCGGGGTACTAAAGGTGTCAGTTCCATTCATAACTCTTGAGAATCGCTGAAGCAAAAGCAACAAGAAGAGCTGGATTCGACTGCTGAAAGAATATTCGGCTTAGAGGCGAGTCTGGTGCAGAATTTGACAAGCAAGGGACCGGTAACAGCTAAAGCTCAATTGGAAGGCCGGGGTTGGGAGTGTGTGTGGGGGGGATCCCGGAGAGCAGCCCCTCGGAAGTGGGAGACAGCGGGCCGGATCGCAGGGCCGAGGCGTCGCAGCACCCGGGGCCCAGCGCCGGCTCTCGGCGGGCGAGCGGCCCGCGGGCGCCGACCGACTCCCCGGGGCTGCAGAGCGAGACCGGCCGGGCCCGGGCGGGGGCCGTCGGGTCGGAGGCGCACCTGGCTCGGCCCGGCCGCCGATTGGCCGGCGCGGCGCGACCCCGCTGTATCACGAGACGGGATTGGCAGCGCCGGGCGGCCCGTGCCCCCGCGCTGGCTTTGTACGCCGAGCCGCCCGCCGGTCCTTTAACAATGGGCGGCGCGAGCGCCGGGGTGCTGGGCCCTAGCTGAGGCCGGGGGAGGGCTTGGCGGCCGACCGTCCGCGGCATGCACGCTGCCGGCGCCCCGCGCACGCCGCCCGGGCTGGGGCTGTGAGGGCCGCGGGTCCGGGTAAGACCCCGCGTGGGCCGGGCAGGCCTGGCCGGGAGGGCAGCGTGCGCGAGGGGAGGCGAGGCGCGGAGCACGGCCCGCCGGCCTTTTGTTCGCCGCACAGGGGCCGCGCCGCGCCGGGCGCTACCGCAGACCTCCCCTCCGCGGGCGGTGGAGCGTGCCCGGCCGTCCGCGCGGACCTGGCCTCGCTCTGCTCAGCCTCCGGCCCGGCGGCGTCCTGACGGTGTCAGGGCTGCCGCGGCAGAGTTCGAACCCGGGACTCGGAGACCCTCCCCGTCCCCCCACCCTCTTCCCCGAGCCGGGCCACCCCGCCGGGAGCTTCCCGTGCTTGCAGCCTCGCGCAGCTCAGCCGGCGGGCGGTTGCAGACTTAGCCATCTCCACAGGGCAGATCGGGCCTTGCCGGCGGCGTTGGAGGATGGCTTGGGGTCGGGTCAGGTGAAGATGAGCCGCCGCGCGGGGTGACCTGAGGTCACACCCCTGGAGAAGGGGACGCGGAGGGTCGTGCTGGGCTGGGGGATGTGGCTGGCGGTGACCGCGTCTGGGGCGTGTCTTCCAGACTGAAGTTGCGGCGTCTGGCCGGGCGCTCCGCCGGCTTCCATGGAGCTGGAGGGGCAATGGTGGCGAGGACAGCTGGCTGCGGATATTCACCAGGCGCTTCGGTACAAGGTAAGCCCGAAGCCCGACCTTCCCGTCCCGGTTCTTGTTCTTCTGGAAAGGCCGGTCAAGTTTTTTTTCTCTCTACCTTCCAGGCCAGAGAAGGCGAGTTCGCTTATTTGTCAAAGTTAATTAACTTCTGCCTTCCCTGGGCGGCATCAGAAGAACCTGTAAATGTGGAGAGGAGTGGGAGTTGGGAGAAGGAGAAAAGCGATGGTCCAGTGTTGCCGGAAGGACCGTGGATGTGGTGTGGTGTGTGTGTGTGTGTGTGTGTGTGTGTGTATTGAATCTTTGTGGAGAGGACATCCATCCTTGCCTCATACTTGCTGCTGCGTGCAGCTGCTGTAAGCCCCACTCGTACATAATTCAGTCCCCCCAGCCTTTCCTCTTAATTTTTTGTGTCTCGGTTTTCTCGTCTGTAAAAGGAGAAGTAAGAGCGGTGGAACGTTACTTATGATGCCTGTTACTGTACAGGGACTTAGAGCAGTGCCCAGCCCATAGTGAGAACTCCGTGCCAACCTGCTGTTACTCGGGCCTTCAGACTGAGGCTGTTCAAAGAGCCTCAAGGGGGAAGGAAGAAGTGGGTGCGCACTGAAAAAAGAATACACTCTTTTTTGACCAGAGCCTGTGTATGGTTGCTTAAATAACGATTTTACGCCGAGTGTCATAAGTCAGATTTATGGGACAGTCTTGCTTCTCTGACAGCCAGAGAAAAGATCCAGAAAGCTCTCTAACTTAGTTTCACGTTGGATCGAAAGACCCACATTAAGTGTGGAAAATGGGGAAAGAATCAAAACAGCTGACTCTTTAGTAAGATTGTGTAGCTTGAGGTTCAAGGATCCCAGGATGGTAATAGATTTGTGTCTCGTGTGTCTAACCAAATTAAGCAGATTGGGACATTGAATCCTGGCTCAAGTTGTTAAAATCACGCCTTTTCCTCCCAAAGCTTGAAATTTCTAAATGCTTTTTTTACTAATCCTGACATTTGGTTTCTTACTCTGAAGACACCTGAGACCCCTATGAGATTGCTCTACAGAAATGTTCAAACTATGGAATGATTCTTTGGAATGTTAGGGAGAAGAGATGTCCCAGTTCACTTTTGATTTTTGAGAGAGATATTTGGATTTTCTAAGTCTCAGTCTTTTTATCTCTCTAGCATGTAGCAAAACTAGTTGATATAAATGATACATTCTGTATGTGTGGACGTGAAAATTTAAAATTTTTTTCTCACGGTCATCCCCGAGTGATTTTTAGTTCTAATATTTTTTATATGTAGGTACTTTTAATCCTAAGTAATTGTCTGAATTGATTTTGCAGGTGATCTTAGAAGTAGAATTTTCTTTCTCTTTTTTTAAATTAGGGTTTGTTGCATGCTTCTGTGTAGTCTGTGAAGGAGCCAGGGAACGAGGCAGCCTTGCAGACAGGTGGATGTGAAGGATTAGGTCTGACGCCTGTGTCAGGCCACCTGTTGCAAACTACTCAGGGATTGTCTTTCTGTTATCTTTAAGCTCAGTCGAGACTGTGGGCCTATTTTCAGGCAATGATAGTCTTTTTACAAAGGATTTGCATTAATTAGTAGGACTTGAACTTTACAACTGGAGAGATCACTGGAGTCAAGGAAGTTAAGGAAACTTCTCTCATTAAAAATGCTACAGTGAGCAATTAATCAGTGCTTCAGTTATTTGTTTATGCAGAATGTTTGTACTTAGTTTATACAAGCTGTTGAAGCAGTAACTGAGTGTCATGGGCATGGTCCTTGCCCGCATAGACTCCAGCAATCTGTTTTATAAGTCAAAGGTATCTGAATGTCCCTCTTCCCTGGGGCAGCTGCTGTTCATTTTCTTCAAAAGATGGTCCATGTTTAGACCCACCGAATTTTAAAGAAATAGTTGATGTGACCAGCATTGTATCTAGTGGGAAAACCTGAAATACAGTGTATGCCAACTGTAAATATAGTTTCCCAGACTTATCAATCATCTGTCCCCTTAAGTGCTTGTCTTATCTTCCTGTCATTCTGCTCTGTATTCCAGTGTTTTAACTCTTTGGAAAGTATTCGAGGAGCTATAAAGACAAGTGGAAACAGTTATAGTTTTGTGAGAAACATTTAAAAAGATGCTGGTCCCAAGGAGTTATAGTTATACTTGGGAGTTTCCTATAGGCCTTTGTTTCCATCCTGGCTGGAGGGGTGAGAAGACCCTAGATGGTACATTTGGCTTCCCTGTGCTTTGATGCTCTGGATTCCTGAGAAACAAAGTAGAATAAAGGTAGCTGAGAAAAGTATAATTTTCCCCCCATGCCTGTGAAACTGTAGTACCTAAGCAAAGGAACAGGCTCTGACAGTCATCTGGTGAGCACTGTGCTTTCCCACTGAAAAAACCAAGGAATTGTGCTGTGCATATTATTTTAAATCTTCGGTTGAGGCTGGTGAGATAGCTTTACACACACACACACACACACACACACACACACACACACACACACTACTCAAGTTTAAAAAGGAAATTCTGACATATGTTGCATGGGAGAACCTTCAAGATAATATGCTAAGTCACACAAAAGGGCAATTATTATATTAATGAGCCCATTTACACGAAATATTTGGTCGAAGTCACAGAGGCACAAAGAAGAATAGTGACTACTGGGGCAGGTGACCGAGAACTGGGAAGTTATACAGTAAGTACTGAGTTTTAGTTTAGAAAGATGAAAACTTATTAACTTATAGCCCCAGAGATAAACAATTAAAACTGTCTCAAGTGATTTAAAAAATCAGGTCACTAAAATACACTGTTGATACCAAACAGCAAAGACCACCTACCTTGGTCAAGGGGATAGAGAGTTCTAGAAAAAGAGGCCTGAATACTGTCTTAAAAGACAAACTGGGAATCATACCTGGAAAATATTGATGGGCTTTATTTTTACCTATGTTAATCTTACCAACATTAGTAAAAACAGCCTGGAAGTCTGGGGCCATCAGTACAAGACTTTATCTTTACTCATTTTATCACTGTGTGAGCTCGCTCATGGTATTTGTGGGTAGGCATACATGCCATGTATACATACGGACATGGGAGGACAGCTCTGCAGAGCTGCTTCTCTCCTGCCAGCTTGAAGGGGATTCTAAGGGATAAAACTTGGATCACAAGTACTTTGCCTGTTAAGTGGGATGATGCCACCTGCAGTCGAAGTAGATCCTTCCTCAGTTAAACCTCTGGCAACTCCCATACAGTATGTGTAGAGGTGTGTCTCCCGGGTGGTTCAAAACCATGTTAGGTTGACAATGAAGATTAACCAGTATTGTCTTTGGTTGTTAGCTTCCACTTTTTGTTCATTGTGGGTAATGGTGTTATGGGCACAGGTGTTCAAATACCTATCTGTCTCCCTACTTTCAAATATTTAGGACATATAATTAAACGTGGAAATGGTGGTCATTTAAGTTTTTGAAATGTACTACACTGTCATCTACAGCAGTTATATCACTTTACATTACCATTATTAGTAACGGAGAAGGACTTAGTTTCTCCATAGCCTTGTCAATGCTTGTTCTTTTTCCTTTGCTTATAGGGCTTTTGGATAGGAGTTATTTTGATAACAGCAATCTAAATGGTATAAAGTGATAGCTTGTGATTTTGGTATGCATTTTCTTAATTAATAATGTTGAGCATGTGTTTATTATGTGCTTGTTGGCTTATGGTTTTTCTCTGTATGTCTTTATGTTACATTGAATTTATGTGTGTGTGGTATGGATACATGAGTAATACTCTGGGTGTCTTCCTCTATCATTCTTCCATCGTATTGCCTTAAGAAAATATCTCTCAGGCTGGAGAGATGGCTCAGTGATTAAGAACAATGTCTGCTCTTCCAGAGGTCCTGAGTTCAAGTCCCAGCAACCACTTTGTGGTTCATAACTGGGATCTGATGCCTTTTTCTGGCATGGGGGTGTATATGCAGATAGAGCACGCATACATAAAATAACTTAAAAAAAATCTCTCATTGAACTGTAGCTCTTTTTGGCTAGGTTGGCTAGCCACAGGCCCTGGGAGTCTGCCTGTCTCTGCCTTCCCCAGTGCAGGAGCTGAAGGCATTTGCAGCCATTCCCAGCTTTTTACATAGGGTCTGGGGATTCGAGTTTGGATCCTCATAATTTCCTAGACCGCTCTGCTGTCCTCTCCTCCTGCTTTTAGGGAAAATGTCTGTCTATGTTGTTTTTCCACTTGTATTGCTCTGGGGTTATAGGAGTTCTTTATGTAATTCGGGAAGGTTTGGAATGTAGCTGAGTAACAGGGTGTCCCGCCTGTGCAGTGCCATGGGTTCAATTCCTAGCATTCTAGAACAAGGAGAAAGTTTTAAAAGCACTTGGGCTACTGACCTCTTACCAGATACATGATTGCAAAGGTTTTCTCCCATCCTGTAGGCTGCCTTTTTCACTGATGGTATCCTTCAAGACACAGTTTATTTATGGAGTTCAGTGTACTTCCTTCCCTTTTGTTTTGTTTCTGTGCGCTTTTGGTATCCATGGTTCTTTATTTTGTTGTGATTACCTGTCAGATTTAGACTTAGTGTTACACTGATCTTACAAAATGAATTTGAAAACTTTTCATCCTGCTACACATTTGGACAACCTCCCCTCCCCTCACACCACGTGTGTGTGTGTGTGTGTGTGTGTGTGTGTGTGTGTGTGTGTGTGTTTAGATGTTGCTGAGAACTGAACCCAGGGCTTAGCACATGATAAAAATATGCTCTACCACTAATCTATATTTCCAGCCATACACTCTCCTAATAATACAGAATTTTAAAACAAATTGCTTAATATTGTCCTGATTAGAAAAGTGTTAGGTATATTAAAGGATGGTGACAAGGTAATGATCCTAACTGATGGAAAGGGAGTAAGATAGAAGATACTGGTGGAGAAATCCTGGTCTACAACTGTGCAGGTATATTGTCCGCACAGCTCCAGGAGCGAACTCACTGGTCTGCGCCCTTGCAACCAAAGCTTTGACCTCCTAGGAGGAGAGTGTATTTGTACTGTGGTTAGCTTCTTGTTTTGCTCTTCTTAAAACCATACACTTTCTTCCCACGCAGCTTTTATTTCTGCACTTTTTTCAAGCAAAGTGTGTGTCTTTGAGCTTTTACAACATGGTATGTTAGGAAGACAATGTTAAAGTTCGTCATTATGAGGCTATTTCTATAGATAAAATATTCTTCCTCTTGATTTAGGAGCTGAAGCTGCCTTCTTACAAGGGCCAGTCCCCTCAGCTGAGTCTTAGGCGGTATTTTGCTGATTTGATTGCCATTGTGAGCAATCGCTTCACACTCTGCCCTTCCGCCCGACATCTTGCTGTCTATTTGCTGGACCTGTTCATGGATCGATATGACATCTCCATTCAGCAGCTGCATCTAGTTGCACTTTCCTGTCTGCTTCTAGCAAGTGAGTATGAATCTGATTTACACGACTCAAAATCTACTTTGTTTGTATGATAAAGATGTGGAGAACTCAGTGAATTATCAAGTCCCAGTCATTTCCATTTATTGCTTTTAGGTTGTTAGCTAGATACTAAAAACTAGTTCTGCCATTAAAACAAACAAACAAACAAACAGATGTCCAAACCCTATATCATAAAGATTGATACAATTACAAATTCTGGACCCCAAAGACAATACTGGTTAATCTTCATTGTCAACCTAACATGGTTTTGAATCACCTGGGAGACACACCTCTACACATACTGTATGGGAGTTGCCAGAGGTTTAACTGAGGAAGGATCTATTTCGACTGCAGGTGGCATCATCCCATGGGCTGGGCCAGGACTAAATAAAGAGGAAGAAGAAAAGGCCAGCTGACTCCTTATCTACACTTCCCCAGTTGTCAGTATAGATTGAGCCCTTCCTGCCACTGTGTCATCCCCACAGGGCAGACTGCCTTCCTCTGGACTGTGAGCCCAAGTAAATCCTTCTCCTCTAGCTTACTTCTGCTCAGACACTTGGGTATAGCAACAGAGTAGTAATTAACATACTGTGTCAGAGTCTCAATAATAGGGACTGGGTATTTTTATTTTTTAACTTTAAAAATCCCAAGGTAGCCAAGTGCATGGCTCACGCCTATAATCCCAGAACTCAGGGAAGCAGAGGCAGGCAGATATCTGTGAGTCCAGGACAGCCAAGGCTACACAGAGAAACCCTGTCTCAAAAAAATAAAAAACCAAAACAAACAAAAAAAAAAAAAAAAACCAAAAACCCAAAGGTAATTTTGATTGAGAACCGTTTTTCTTGATCAGTGATTAATAACCAGAAGCAACTTTGGGAATGCTACTAGTATCTGATGCATAAATGCTTTGGATATTGCTAAAGGTCCTGTCATTCAAAGGACAGATCCCTGGAACAAAGATTCTCTGCCTCAAAACATCAGTGTAGCTGAAGTTAAGAAACTTTGTCTTAAAGGCGCCACACACTTATTGTCTTGGCTATGGGAATAGGCTTAATGAACTCAGTCAGGCTCACCCCAACTGATACAAACATGGCTTCAGTATATATCCAATAGAATCTTACTTATCACCCATGCAGAATATGCTGCTAGACCTCTCAGTGCCAAACCTCAATTTGTTGTTTGATAGTGTCTACACTGAAGAGAATGGGCAAGTAAAATAATTAAAACTGAATTTTCTATATTCAGCAATGGAAAAAGATCACATTTGATATGAAGTTGAATTGAATGTATTGTTTTTATATTATCCAAGTCATTAAGCTATGTAGTTGTTATCATCAACAACTATGTACTACTTCAAAGTACTTTGTAGTTGTTATCATCAACCTTGACCTCTGACCTCACTGGAAGGTTGGCATCCAGTATGGCTGCTGTGATGAGAACATGCCCAGTAGGCTAAGAAGCTTTTAAACACTAATAAACCTAAAACCCAGTGCATTATTAGGTGGTATCATTTCCAGATCTGAGCCTCTTAAATTTTATTTTCTTACTCCAAGACTTCTACTTGAACGACTTTGTGTACTATTTCAGTTCCTCTTTGAAACTGGATGAATGTAAATAAAACACAACTATAGTGATGGTTTCCCATTGCTTGTGGACTAGGGTGGGAACTGTTTAATGTAGCATTTAGAACCCTTCTTACAAATCCAGCATCCAGTCTAGTCTCATCATGTGCCACTTGAGCAAAATTCTTAGCAGAATACTATATACTTCCTGATTATCTTTATTTCCCCATTAAAGTCTGTTTTCCTCTAAGATCTAGACACACAGCTCTCCTCCTGCCCCCCAAGCCAGAGAAATAATACTTAACACATTTGTAATTAACTTTAATAGAAGTTTCACACTCATAGGAAATTGTGTATACAGTTCTACATGTGTTTCATCACTGGCTATGAAGCCCTTTAGAGTTTAATTTTCTACATTAGATTGGAAAAACCCATACTTGACAGGTCAGATTATAAAAATCCACAAGTAAGATGTTGTTTTTACCCGTAGAATATAGGTTATGGAATTAGCTCATAGCAGAGACATACCCTGGCAATCAGACATAAAAGCAGTGGTACCTATGAAATGTAATTTTTATGGCTGCTATGACCCAACCCAAACATTACCAAATCCCACCTTGTTCTCTGTGGTTCTTAATGTATCCTGGACCAAATAGGAAGCTAAGCTGAATTGAATATGAAATAATGAATGACATTAATTGACTTTCCTAAAATAATTTACATTGTAACTAAAGTTTGCTTACTAGGAACTTACCAAGCTAGCTAGGGTTATTTCTAGTATATGACATTACTAAAGTCCACTGTGAGAGCTAGTTGGTTCTTAAGAATTTTAAGCCAGATATGGTAGACTCTGTCTGTAGGTAGAAAAGTTTTTTATCACCATATAGTGCTTGCCATTGTGATGCTAAGTCCCTACACTTTTCTATTTCCACAACAGGGGAAAGGGACTTGATTTTGTAGTGTCTTAGGATGGTTGAAGCATACTGCAACGTATGGTGGCTGTCCTTTTATTCTATGGAATGTTGTTTGTTGTACTTGATGTGGCAATGTGTAATTCTTAAAGCTTGTTTTCTAGTAATGGGGTAAAGTTTGTATTTGCTATAGTTCAGATTTGAATTGTATATCACTGTCTTAGTTACTTCTCCACTCCCACAACAAGCCACCATGACCAAGGTGACTTAGAAAAACATTTAATGGAGCTTGCCATTCCAGAGGGTCTTAGACTCCATGACTATCATGGCAGGGAGCATGGCAGCAGGCAGACAGGCATGATACTGGAGCAGTAGCTGAGAACTTGAGTGTTGAGACCGCAACCACAAGGCAGAAAGAGAGAGAACCAGCTGGGATAGCACGGTTTCTGAAACTTCAAAGCCTACCCCAGTGACAAACCTCCTTAACAAGGCCAAAGTTCCACCAACTGGAGACCAAGCATTCAAACATATAAATGTACCCTAATCACCCTCTGTTGGAAGAACCAGATACCACCTCCTTTTGTTCTGCTGTCACTTTTGATCTCCATTTTCCTAAGAGAGAATTTGCTTTTATTTTTTCCTTCTCCACTGTAGAATGGAGTATGTTCAGGTTACCCATTAGGGCTTCAGCCCTCCAGAATAAGTGGTATGTGAGAGCTGGAGAAGTTGTCCTCTACTAGGTCAGAAGTTGAAGAGGTTAGAATTTTAGCTAGCAGCAATCTCTCCTCCCCTCAGTCTCTAATACTATGTCAAAAAAGCTTAGTATGCTTATGAACCAGCAGTCTACCTTTAGTGTCTGATGCCTCTTATAAATTTGTGGGATTATTCTAGTATTTCTTGTATCCTTCCCTACCCAGGATTTCTTTTTATAGTCCTGGCTGTGCTAGAACTTGCTCTGTAGACCAGGGTGACCTCAGTCTCAGAGATCCAGCCGCCTCTGTCTTGAATGTGCTGGAATTAAAGGTGTGTGCCACCACCCCAGCATTTCTTATATTCTGACACCCTGTTTCCTTTCCTTTGGATGCCAGTGGCAGCTCTCCATTAGTAAGTTTGAATGCTGCATTCTGACGGCTCCCTCTCTGCTCCCTGAGTTGAAATAGGGATCCAGTATTAGGGAACTAAAGAATAGTTTATAGCTATTAGATCAAGAGCCAGTTGGAGTCTACTTTTTTTTTTTTTTTTATAATAGATTGGATGTTGTATGTAATTTGGCCAAAGACAGATCACAGTTTGTATGTTCTTGGAACTAATGCTTTCCTACCTGCCTGGGGAGCTAAAGTACTGGAAGTGGGAAGAAAGGGCCTGCACATGATCTGATCTGAAAGCAGTTTGGAGTATTTAGGAGTCTGATTGTGCTGATAGGTTTTGTAGGTTTGAAACCTACAAATTTCAGTAACCAACAGTACAAATTTCAGTAACCCTGGATCTCAGGTTAATTCTCTATATGGAAATGGAGACACTTGGTTTATAAAGTTGTTGTGAGGAGTAGGCGGGGCCACAGGAAAACTCCTTATGAAAAGTGTAGCATTGTACTGACCAACCCCCTGGCTTTTTACTCATGAAGAGGCTGCCTTTTTCTAAAGTAGATCTTTTTTGTCCAAGAAAATAACTTCTTATATATTTCAGCTGTTTTCCTCTCTCGCTTTGGCTTGTTTGAGCAACATTGATCTTATAGGCAGTTTGGAAGCAGCCTTGGAAATGAGGCTTCATATGCTCATGATCTTGGACTCCAAGTGAAGATTTTTAGTCATAGGCTATTAATATTAATAATTTGTAGTAAGTGTTTGTTTCTCTTGGCTCACCAATACTACCTTAAGTTTTTTTTACTTTATTTTTTGTTAGGTGAAAAATTAAGTTACACAGTCGGTTTGATTCACATCTTAATTTTTAATGAATTTGCCTCCTCCCCTGTGAGTTGCCTTTTCCTGTTTTTTTCCCCATTTCTCTATTAAATTGATGGTCTTAGTAATTTGTGAGGATTCTTTGTGTATAGTACAGATAACTTTCCTATTTGGTAATGAAAGAATAGAATGTTGGCTGAGATCCAGATGGTGTAGCTCCCTACTCACTGTATCGATCTTCTCTGCCACAAAGCTACCATTTGCTGCTATCTTTGAAAACAAGTGGTTTCCATGATTGAGCTGTACATTTCCTGTAAAGGATAGAAAGCCTGGTATTTTGTTTCTGGCCTCTCATTCTTTATTTTCTTGGAAGCAGATACGAATTTCCTGTATCCTCATTTCCTGTTTGGCTCTTTTATCAATATAATCATATGGCTTCTGGTATTTCCTTTCAAGCGAAAAAAAAAAAAAAAAAAAAAAACCCTGACCTGCGATCTGTGTATATGAACAAGTGGATTTAAACTACACATAGCAGTTAACACAATAAAGAACAATGCAAATGCATGTCATCCATTAATGTTTTTATACCTTTTAAAATTCTTGTCTGTGGAATTAAATATATATCACTATACATAATGAAAAGGTTTAAAAACTTATGACTGAATTAGAATCCCAAATGTGGTTGTTTATACAGCATATTATTGATTGATTGATTGATTTTAGACAAGATCTTAACGTATAGCTGGCTGGCCTGAAATGTCCTAGGTAGACCAGACTGGCTTTAAACTCAAAGAGATCCACCTGCTTTTTGCCTCCCAAGTGCAAAGATTAAATGCTTGTGCCTGGCATGCAATTTAATTTATTTTTAAATGATTTATTTTTTATTTTATGTGCCTTGGTGTTTTGCCTGCATGTATGTCTGTATGAGGGTGTCAGATTCCCTGGAACTATAGTTACAGACAGTTGTAAGCTGCCATGTGGGTGCTGGGAATTGTACCTGAGTTCTCTGGAAAACCAGTGCTCTTAATGGCTGAGCCATCTCTCCAGCTCTATGCAACTTATTTTTAGATTTGAAAATCAGCATATAAACTCCTTGACACTTATTTAATAGCTAATTATTTATAAACATAGATGCAGAAGTCTATCATTCTGATAGTAGTGCCTGTGAAATCTGGCATGGTGTTTTGGTTTAGAAGTACAGATTTGGGAATATAAAAGTCTTTTTGGCTTCCAGTTTTGGTTTCACTCAACTTATTTGACCTTGAGTGAACTGGCTGACTTATGTAACAGCTTGGTTTCTTGACCTGTGAAATTGACCATAAACAGTTTTATTTTTTGATGATGAAAGTTTCAAAGAGAGAATTTGAAACACCCTTGATCCTTGAATTATGGTGAATTATGGTATATTAATCTCTTCAAAGGAAGTTAAAGCACTATATAAATAAACGCATTAATTTTTATAACATTCCTTTGAAGTATACAGCCAGTACTGCTGCTACACAAATGGCAATGTGCTTGAAAGCCTTAATGATTCATCCGGAGAGACTGAACAAATGCCAGCATAATTTTTCTTCTGCAGAACTTTACATCCTTACTCTAATAGCAATGACTTCCTTTCCTGTTCAGTGGTGATGCTGATCACTGTCATGAAGACCAGTGTGCTGTTGTGAAGTGAAATGCCACTTTTATATGGCTGAAACTGGGAAAGACTATCTAGATTCTTAAAGTGTGAATCATGTAAGGTGTGCTCCTCTACAGTAATATTTAAAGAATGGTTTTGAGCTGGAGATGGGGTTTTATCTGTAATTCCAGGTACTCAGGAGACTGAGCCAGGAGGATGTCAAGTCTAAGGCCAGCCTGGGCAACTTGAATAGTGTTTTGAAATTAAAATTGAAAAGGGCCAGCAGTGTAACTCAGTTGTGTAGCAGTTGGCTCACATGTATAAAGCTCATTCAAGACCTGGTTGTGGTTCAGATTTAAAGAAGTTCACAGTCTCTCTAGAGCAGGAGTAGCCACCATCTTCTGCTTCTTTGGCTTTAAGTTTTTCTCAAGATAGGAGCTTAGAGTGTCCTGGCATCTGGAACAAAACTGTCTACCTGAGTTCTGTTCCCTAAGCAAATCACTAGTAGGCAGCAGCACTTCGTCCAGCACCGAGATGAGCCAGTGGGGCCCCCACTGGCTACCCACTGCCAGTACACAGGGCAGCTGAGTGGCCCTGGACTCTCCCATTTGGGTAGCAGCTTTAACCAGTGTTAAAGTCCAACCCTTTAAGAAGAGAACCTGCACCAGGAAATGTTAGTTTTCCTGCTTTGGCAGTTTTTCTTTCCCCTGTAAGATATTTATAAATGAGTAGAATAAAAGTGTAATGTTTCCAAGGAAAGTAATGCTATTGAAATCATTACCAAGATATTAAAACATACTTATATATAGCAACATGTACTTTTGAAAATAACTTCCTAGCGATAGTTTTGAACAAGAATTTATGTAAAACTCCTTGAGAAATCTGTAATTGTAACTTTTAAACTTCAGTGTAAAATAGCATACAGTAGTGAGAGATAGAGTGCTTTAGTCCTAATCTCTGTTCTTCTGTAGACTGCTGTGTCCCAGAAACAGGCATAGAAGTAACCAAACTTATACTTTGTGTGTCGCAATGTTTATTTGGAAATGCAAATGTATTTTGGTTCCTAAGCTGTAGGAAGATTTTTCTCGGGTGGAGAGGAAATCTTATTCTCAGCTGTGAGTGGTTGGAGCATCAGATGAGTGTTTTCTAAGATGTTAATGAACTCCTACAGCATCACCTTTACTCCTGCTCTCTCCCTTCCCTACCACCCCCTTGCTTTAAAATGTCATTATTAGAGGGAAGGAAGCATGCACTTGGGTGTGCTTGCACTTGGGTGTGCATGCCTTGTTCAGATCAGAGGACAACCTTGTGAGGTTTAATCTCTGCTTCTACCATTGTGGGTTCTGGGGATTTCACTCAGGTTTCCAGGCTTGGCTGGTGAGCCACTGCAGTGGCCCAGCCTCTGAGCTTTTCGAGGCAGGTTCTCACTGTGTATGTAGCCTCACACTTCCTGCCCTGTGTAGGCCTCCCAAATGGTTCTAGGCACAGCTGTCATGTGCATTTACCACTATACCTAGTCCCCTTTCCTTTTTTGAAAAATAAACTTAAAGAAGAGTAGAGATAGAGGAAGGTTGTTCTTTGTGTTTGTTCATGAAATAGCAGTTCCTATATAGTGGCACTTACTTAGTTTTTCTTCCAAATTTCCTTTCTCTCTGCTGTTGAGGTTATGTTGAAAATTTGCCAAGACTAAGTACTTGATGCTGACTAGTTTTCAGAAAAACCTAAGAACTACTAGGGGATGTAGCTCAGTGGCAGAGCACTAAACCAGATAAAGTTATGTTAAATTCTTGTTGCTTTAGATAATTTTCTCTAGCCAACTACCTTCTGACCTCTAAAAGGACAGTTTTCTGGAAAGAAACAAAAAGCAAACTCAACTGGGTAGTTACTGCCTCATTAGCGTATATGACTGTTTCCTTTATGCCATAAGACACTGTTCAGATAGATGCACATTTTTTTCAGAGGATGATTAAAGGTCAAGGGTGGGGAAGAACTAGAAAAGACCACATGCAAACATGAACAGAGGAGCACTGTGGCGCAGGTGCCTCTATATGAGACAGGGGAGACAGTGTCCTTAAATCTGTATTGTGCTAGCAAGACAGCAGGTCCCATTTGGCTGCAAGACCTCCGAGCATCACTCTCCTGACATTTCCCAACCTTTCTACAAGGTAAATTTGAAGAAAAAGAAGACAGTGTGCCTAAGCTGGAGCAGCTCAATAGCCTGGGCTGCATGACCAACATGAATCTAGTGCTAACGAAGCAGAACCTGCTGCACATGGAGCTGTTGCTGCTGGAGACCTTTCAGTGGAACCTCTGCCTTCCCACGGCCGCGCACTTCATTGAGTATTACCTCTCGGAAGCAGTCCATGAGACAGATCTTCATGACGGCTGGCCAATGGTTTGCTTGGAAAAGACTAAACTCTACATGGCCAAATATGCAGATTACTTTCTGGAAGTGTCTCTGCAAGGTGAGCTGCTACGAATACTGTCATGTGACTGTGCAGTGGTGACTTGTGTATTCTGTTGCTTAAGTTCATTTTTGATGTCTCCACAGATTATGCCTTTCTAAATTATGCACCTTCTTTAGTAGCTGCTGCATGTGTGGCTTCCTCGAGGATTATCCTTCGTCTTTCTCCAACATGGCCCACGAGACTGCATCGTCTTACCGCTTACTCCTGGGATTTCTTAGTACAGTGTATTGAACGGCTATTGGTGTAAGCCTTTTTGCTCTTGTATTTATAATTTCTAGTTAACATTTTCCTTTGTGTATAACGTACCCTAAGAATTGCTTCTCAAAGGCTGAGGCTTTTGTCAGTTGCTTCTGTCAGTTGCTTACTGCTGTGAACAGATAGTGCTCTGCAGCAAAGGAGCATTCTTTGCCTGTGAATCAGGTAAAAGTTTCCATTACTGGTTCAAGCCTAAGTACTTGACAAGAAAAGGGGCTGTTCTTGTCTACATTGCTGAGATCAGTCCAACCAGATCTTACCTGTTCCCATCTCTATGCCACGGAATTTAAGGGTTTCCAGGATGTGACCTCAAATTCCAACTTAGAAGCAGTCTTCAAAGCTGTTTCATGTTCACACCAAGATTAAATACTTGAGAAAGATACAAAGGAAGTTGTCACTATTGTTGAGTGACGGTACAGTGATTGCTGCTTAGGAACAGTACTGGGAGTTTATAGAGCAAGCAGTGGCAGAGTTGGGAAGTGGGACTTTGCTGCATTCTTGCCAGATAATGTTATTGTTTTCTTTCTTTTCTCTCAGTGCTCATGATAATGATGTGAAAGAAGCAAACAAACAGAGGGGACAGTCAGCTCCTCAGTCAGCGCAGCTGGGTGTGTTCCAGGCAGCACAGCCCTCACGGCCTGTTCACTTCCAGCAGCCTCAGTATCTTCATCAGACCTCCACGCAGTATCGACATCCTGTGTCAGAACAGCCAAGCCGTCAGCAGATCGTGTCTACCACACACACCTCATCGTATACGCTACAGACTTGTCCTGCTGGCTTCCAAACTAGTGTTCAGGGCCTTGGGCACATGCAGACTGGTGTTGGGATGTCCCTGGCAATACCAGTAGAAGTTAAACCCTGTCTCAGTGTTTCTTATAACCGGAGTTACCAGATAAATGAACATTTTCCATGTATTACCCCATGCTTTGAGAGGTGATGACATACATATGCAGGTCATAAGTGACTCAGACTATTCTGAGACGGATAGCTCTGGGGCAAGTCCTCTTCAGAAGCAAAGGAATACAACTAGTATCACAACACAACAGGCACCAGCACCAGAAGACTGAATATCCCTTTCAGTACCACGGATACCTAGGAGGACTCAGCAGATTTTGACTTGTGTCAAATCCCTATGTGAAAGAAATGTCCCAGCTCTTGACTGATGGTCCAAATATTTCAAAATGCTCAATCCAGCAGAAAAATTGCCATTCTAAGATTTGACCTGTGGTGGACTCTGGGCCTTATGCTGGCATATATGTCAAAGACTTAGTATTTATCTGTGGACTTGCCAAACCATCTTTTATGAAGGAAAGTTACAGTATTAATTTTTGAAAAATTGTTTTAATTCTTGCAGCTCAGAGGTTTTTTTTGTTTGGTTGGTTGGTTTTCTTGACCTGCTGGTGGGTTTCTAAATTCAAACTCACCAGTTGCTAAGTGTACTAATCTGTGCAGTTAAAAAAAAAAAAAATCCAGATGAGTTTATATGACTTCCTATCATAAATATAGAAATCTGGATTTGTATACTAAAATGAGGGGCGAAGCAGATACATATCTTGAAATCATGATCGTAATTTTTGTTTTGCTCTGCTCGTATTTTCCCCTAAGTGGTCAGTCCCTACTGTTCAGGATTAAGCACATTTTAACTCAGGGAACTTGTAGTACTTGGAAACACTTAGCTGTAACCAACATGCCTTGGACATGAACGACCTTTGTAACATAGGCTACAACGCTCCTGCTGGGATGAGTCTAAGGTAGCGCAGGAAGAATGAATGGGTCCTGTGATGCCTGTGCGTGGACGGGTTGTGCATCAGCCAGTGCCATCAGGGTTTATGCTCAGAATTACTGCTCTTCAGAACAGCTTTCAGGAGAAGGCATTCTGTAAGATATTAGTGCTAGAGTAGAGTCGGTAGGATTGTTCTGGAGCTGAGAGTGGCCAGGGTGGTACTCAGGTTGGGCCAACAGCACTTTGTTATGGGCAGGGTGGTTCTATAAGCAACCTTGGAATCCAGCAAGTCAAGCTAAGCAAGCAGGGGTACCGACTCCAAAATTTCAGTAGCCATCTTCATTAGATTGGCTGTGCAACAGCCCTGGGACAATTCATTTTATTGGTAGTGAGTGAAAACAGCAATAATAGTCATAGCAAGGACAACCTGGCCATAAAATACTGGCAGGAGGTAGGGGATAAACTTTAAAAAAATAACTGATAAACTCTACACATTGTACTCTTATCATGGAAGAGGTGGAGGGAAACCGTAGCTTAAAGTTAGTAAGGTGTGTCTGTTTTTATGAGCTAGCACTTGGAGAGAAGGGAAACTGGCTGCTGTGAGAGCACAGTGTGCATTGACGAGGTCACCATGAAGACGTGGGTGTGCAGCAGGAGTCTGGGGAATCAGCCAGTGGCCTTTGTTTCGAAGGGAAGGGCTCCACAGCATGATGGAGGCAGCCTCGGTGGGTGGGTGCCAGCGGGGATTCTTTAGAGAAATGTTCTTTCCTTAAAAGGAAGCTAACTTTTATATTTAGGATACATAAGGCATGGTGTGGACTTACTAGTCTGGTGATGAAAACCACTCAGGTAGGAACACTCATGGCAGTTTTCAAGCACGGGGACTGTTCTATGAACGTATCACTTTTCCTCTTTAAAAAGGCTGCTAATTGGATTTTATAATTCTTACCTTAAGAAAACTTGAATTATTAGGAGGAAGTAGGTTCAAAAGATGATAATGTGTTTTCACATTCACAGATAGAGCCCAGAAACATGGAGTCCAGTTTTCAGTATTGTAACTACCTCAGTAATGCTATGAATGTAAGAGATTGGGATAGAAATCCTAACTTGAAACAACAGCCAGTGCCTGTGGTAACTTAATGTCTTGTCAAATGCTTTTATTGATTGGTTATATGTCATTCTTGTTGTCCAAGAATATTTGTCTTTTTTAAAAGCTTATTAACACTTTTTCCAGTTTATATTTAAAAAGCTAAAGAACACTGGATTAATCCTTTTGTGGGGTAGAGTCAAGTAATTAATGACTATTGCTGCATACCTGGATGGGGAGGCTGGAGAATCATGACTATTTTTAAAAACAATAGGATTCAATATAAATGCAACTCAACAACAGTTAGCTTGGGGGGGAGGGGCTGTGCGGGTTTTGTTTTAATTTATTAATTAGTTTTAAAAGTTTTTTCTGTTTTGAGATTACTGGACCATCATTAAGTGTGTACTGTGAAAAGATTAATCATGTGTAAAGGACTTAACCAGAGTCCATTAAATAAACACTATTCAAGTACAAAATACAAACCAAAATATCTGTGCTATGACTAACTACAAACTGAGTATGGTGCTCAGTCTACACAGCAGGACCACATGAGTGCTATGCACTTGATTTTAAAATAAAAGTAGTTTTCACTAAAATGTTCTTGCCTGCTTTTGTTTTAAATACATGCCTGTAGGTTATACCCTCAAGTCATGTCATGCATGTCAAACTTAAAGGCACAGTGTATTTAACGAGGCATCAGATAGAGAATATTGGCGCAGTAGCAGGAAACATTTGTCCCTTTATGTTTTACATCCTGAGCATTGAAGCCCATCAGAGTACAGCACACACCTCTGTTGCCTTTTGTGCTTAAAAGGAGTTGTATGTTAGTAACTGTAAATTCTTTTTTTCATTGAAAATAGTTTTTTATACAGTATATTCTGATATTTTTCCTCCCTCATCTCCCAGATCCTTCTCACCCATCGAACTCCATGCCTCTTTATCTCAATTTTTAGAAAACAAACAGGAAAAATAAAAACAAACAAGAAAACCCAATAGAATAAAACAGAAAAAGTGAATATATATACAGAGACCCATACACACAGAAAACGCACTAACGCGCTAAAACACAAAATCAGAAACCAAAATATATAGGCAAAAGACCAGTAAGGGACAGGTGGCGGGGGAAGGGGGGATGCCCAGACAAAACATGAAACAAAACATAAAAGCCTCCCAAAGTGCCATGGAGTTCATTTAGATGTCTACTGCTGTGCCTGGGGCCTGCCCACGGTGTGGTATGTATACTCAGACTCCATTGGAGAAATAATTTTTCCTTTGTTGTTGTCATCGGGAAATAGCTTCTGGGTTAGGATGGGACTGTGTCCACCTCCCCCTCTCAGTGCTGGAACCCAGTCGGGCTTGAACCTGTCCAAAGCCTTGTGTAGACTACTGACTCAGTGAGTTCATGCCTACCTACATCAGTCCTGCTGTACCTGGAGGGCCTTGTTTCTTTAGTGTCTTTCATCCCCACTGGCTCTTACGATCTTTCCACCTCCTCTTCCACGAAGTTCCCTGAGGGGAGAGGTCTGATGGAGAGAGCACACTGCCTGGCTATGGATCTCTCTATTCCTGTCCACTACAGGAAGCTTCTTTGTTGATGACTGAGACTGATCTGTGGTTATAGCAGAATGTCACTGGTAGTTAAATTGTTGATACATTTCTTTAGCAGAACAATAGTATTTGGTCCATAGCCTGTCTAGTCTCAGGTTCTCAGCCACCCAAGCAGTACCAAGTGTGGGTTCCATCTTCTGGAGGGGGCCATAATCTGTAACTCTGAACTCTTAAAATCTGTTGTTTGAGGAATTCTGAAATCTGAGCTCTTTAGGAAAGTCAGGACAAAATGATTGGTGATCTCAGAGTGTTAGCAGTGGGTAAGCCTTTATTCACCTTAGTATAACTATCAGTCGTTAGCTAACTCAGCAGAAGCTTTAGCAGGTTTTGAGGCAGCATCAGCACCTGCTCTCACAAGGGTTAGTATGTAGTGTCTTTGGGGCTGAATTTAGGAAACCAGAAAAAAAGCAACAAGTTTTCTAAACAGGCCTAAACTTTGCACTGTGAGTCTAACCCAGGAAAAAAGTTGCTAAACAGCTGCTCCTGAAGCAGATGGTGAAAACACCACCCACCACCCACGAGCAGCTTACTCACATCTATCTCCAGAAGTCTGGTTGGCACGCTAGAAACAGATGTAGAGGACTGTTTAGTGATTGTGTTGGTTTAGGAATCACTCAACATCCCTTTCAAAATCCTTGTTTCTTTTTTTAAAGTAACAAGTGCAGTCAGTTGAAAGCAGAAAGAGTGAAATCACACCCTCTGGGAAGGGTATGTGCTGCTACTACCACCCCTTCCCCTTGGCCCCCCATTTCCCTTGTGACCTTTGTTCCCAAGACGCTGTGGGAGACTCACTGCAACCCTGAATTAAAGGAGTTCTTAGTCTAGAGTCATGGACCTCCAGCAAGGTATGCAGTTTAGAGAAGATATCCTCTGTCTCTAAAGTTTTGTCAAATCAGAGAGATCTGGCTTAAAGGTACATTTTGTGCCATTCTGTGCCATTTCTGCTGATTTGCTAACCTTCTGCTGGTAGGATATATTCCTTTTTAACAACCTTCCCTTTTAGAACAAATTGAGATGTACAGAGTTCCCACATATCCCACACCGAGGTTCCTCTCTTACACATCTTACATTGTATGTTACATTTGTCACAATGAACCAATAGAGAGGCATTAACGGAAGATTATATTTTAGCCAGATTTTATGTGTGTATGTTCAAATGTCCATGTGCATATAAGTGTGGAAGCCAGAGGGCTATGTTGGGTGACGTCTTTAATTGCTCTATCCTATATATATATATGATCTCGAAACCTATAGCTCATTGGCTAGACCAGCTAGCTAGCAAGCTCCAGGAATTCTGTCCCTAACCCCCAGTGTTGGGATTACAGGCTTGCATTGTTATACCCAGCGTTCCTGCCTGCCTTCCTCCTTTCTTTTCCCCCCTTTCTTTTTGTAAGTGTATGTGGTAAGGGGCACGCGTGTGTGCACACAAGTGTCTGTCTCAATTACCGTGTACTTTACTGAGGCAGAGTTGTTAGCTCAGCAAGAGGTGGTGGGACCCTTATGAGGCGGGGCCTGTGGAGGGAGGTTAGTCGCTGGGAGAGTGCCCTTGAAGGTGATGTTGGGACTTCTTCCTCTTCCTCGCTCTCTTCCCAGCTTCAAGAGAATGCTGACTTACACTGTCCCTAATATCTCTCTTCCATCACAGTTTCCTACCCAGTATATCACATTTTAGTAGTTAGTTAGATTTCCTTTTAGGCAACTCTGGGTTGTGACAGAATCTCAGTGATGATTTTGACAACGTTGAGTAGTAGTCCTTGGTCAGGTATTTGAATACATTTTCTTATGGGCAGGGCTTTTGTCTTATCCTTTTTATGTATGATAGGGTACCTAGAACAACATAGACTCTTGGAATTTGGGGGGGGAAATAGTCCTAAAAATGGGTTGTGGTTATTAAATAGGCTTGTGCCAATTTAAAAGAAAGTATTCTGATCATAGTAAGGGTGAGAGTAGGGTAACACTGGGCTACGCAGCTTTGAAAGCGAATACGAGTGTTGTGAGATATCCCCTACCTCAGGGCTTGTGATGTTATACAAGTGACTGTGAGGAAAGATGGGCTGAGAATGGTAGGTAGGCAAGAGGAGACTGCAGTCAAGAGGATTTCTGCAGTCATGACATCAAGAAGTAGCAGTGTATGGAAACTTACTAGTACAGATACAAACACCAAGAGAACAGAAGTGATAAAATTGGGAGATAGTTACATACTAATCCTTTATTACTTACAAAAGTGAATCACAGATACTGAGGTGCTGGCTAAAAAATAGAAAACAGGCCGTTATAAAAATCAGGGTATTCCACAGATAGAACTATGAGAATAAAACCACAAATCTTAACTGATTATTAAAAGAAATACAGAAAACAAACTACCCATTAATTTTTTTTTTTAATTCAAGAGCTGGGAGTCTAACAAAAAGATAACAAAACTTAAGTCCAAAAGTAACAAATCCATGCCATTCAGGTAAACTCAACTATGAAGTGGAAGATGATTTCAGGGGAGATGACAAAGTGGGTAAGAGCATTTCCTGTGCAAGTATGAGGACCTGAGTTTGACTCTCCAGGACTCTTAGTAGCCAGGCATACTATAACCCGAGTACTGGAGAGTGGAGATGAGCAGATCCCCAGAGTTCCCTGGGTAGCCAACCTACCTGAAAGGGTGAGCTTCAGGTTCAAAAGGAAACCCTGTCTAAGGGGGCGGGGGGAGACAGAAGAGAATAAAAGACAGCACCCAACATCCTCTTCTGGCTTCAACATAAGCATGCACACACATGCATATACAGGCATATATCATACATAACAACATCAAAAGAATTCACCACTTAAAATGTGGAATCAAAACTCAAGATACTAAAGGTATTACAAATGATTCAGAAAAATTAGTTCAAAAAATTAAGAATTTCCATTAAAACACAGAAAAAAAAAGATCAGGATTTTAATAACAAGTCGGGCACGGTGGCTCAGTTTCATAATCCGAGCATTTGAAAGCTGAGGCAAGAGGATTGGCACCAATGCCAATCCAGCCTGATGAACATAGTGAGATCCTGTCTCACAAACAAGAAAAACAGTCTTACTAAGGGACACATTCTAGTGTCAGAAGTTGTACCCTATTAGCAACGTTGAGCAAAAACTATGGGGAAAATTAGAAATAAAGGACAAACATCAGTGGCAGGAATTATTTAAACATAAGGATGTGAAGATCTAAGCATATCATTCCGGTAATCTGACAGTGCGTGCAGAAGTTCTAAGAAGGGAGGTGGCACAAATCTGGCATGAGACAATGATGGCAGCAGAAACAAAGGGCACCGAGTGGTATGTGGAGGCAGCTTGCCATTGTGCCATCAACAATTCTCTCAGGCTCCCCAAGTCTATGGACAACTGAAATTTCTTTATTGACCTGACCACGTCCCTGCAGTCAGAATACAGCAACTTGCTTCTTTGCCCACTTGCAGCTGTCTGCAGTTTTACTCGAGGAGAATGAAATTATGGTCTCTAAACTGCTAAAAAACACTTGACGTTTCCAGGTAAAAGCAACCCATTATTAACACAGTAAACTAGTAATTGACCATATATTTTCATGTTTCCTTTGATAAAGTTAAACTAATCTGAACTTTCAAAAGAAAAAAAAAACAAAATAAACAATACCTGGCTATGCCTTAGTCTACAAAGAAAACTGTAGTCAAGTTCAGAGACTGGAATTAATGTGGAAAACAGTCATGAAAATGCAACTAAACATCAGATGGTATAAGCACGTCTATAGTGTCAGGGCTTGAATGCCGAGGCAGGAGAGTTTGGGGCCAGCCTGGACTCTGTAGAGAAACCCTCCCTCACAAAACAGACAAGCCAACAGGCAAACAGACTAGCACCAGTAAGAAGTCAATAGAGCTGGGATGTAATTTAATGGTAAGGCACTGTCCTGTACCTTTCAAGGCCCTGGCTTTAAACACTGGCACTGGGAGGAAAAGAAAAGACTTCAAACTTTGGTA